TTTCCGGTTCTCCACACTCACCATACAAAACACAGCAGCATTAAACTTCGATTTTGCGCTTCAAACTTAATGTAGTTAGCTTTTATAGAGTCGTATAGCCTCCACGACAATATAGGTAATATATCAGTATTAAGTTTAGAATAAAAGACTGATTTAATTGAAAATCTAGTACCAAGCACACAGCATCTCCTCTCATTGACACTTTACAGTCATCTTACCTATTCCTGGCGTCAAATGGCAGTTATTTTTGTCTTTTGAATATTTTTCGTAAAAAATAAAAATATTAATTTCTTTGCAACCTTCCGCTAAATAAATACAATGATGTGTCTTACCTGGATTGAAGAACACCTCCCGCCCTCCCTCAATTGCATGCACTAACTCCGTCACCACTAGTCCCTGCACCACTACTCCCAACACCACCATTCCAGGTAAGACACACCATCGACAATAATACGACACGTGTTTCGCCTCTACACGAGGCATCTTCAGGTGATGTAGACTCTACGGCGGCTGACCGCTAAGTGAGCGGCGAGCCGAAACAGCTGCTATTCTCTCCCCACCAAAGTAGCGAGTGACCGCGAGTATTATTTGTAACGGAATTTAGAATGCACAACTATCTTTCGGGCTAAAGAGCCAGTATAGTTCTGAGATGTGAGGCGTTCCATTTTATATTTTAGTAGTAATAATGTCCTCCAGACCGAATTTCTGACAAGTCAGGAAATAGCCTTTGACGCAGAACGGGATTATAGTGCCCAAACGTACGCGCAAGCATAGGTGCACTCACTATTTCCTCACTCTTATAATCCGATGGGACGGTAAACCGACACAATCGGAGATAGATCAGGCGCAGGACTAACGGCTTTATGTGTTTTCCGAGGCACCGGGTGAGACACCACCAACTTCCTGACTCCGGGCAGCTTCTGAAAATTTCTTGACGGAAAGCTCAATAATTGATTTTTGGCTCGATCCGGGATTCGAATTTTCGTTCCGAACCCAGGGCCTCATGATCAGTAGTCGCACTACTACAACCACTAGATCAACGAGGCAGTCAGTTTTTTTTTCTATACATCCTTAGGTTTCTTTAATCATCACGCTTGTCAAGTGGTTTAAAGTTCTCAGTACCAGGCAGCTTTAGGTAGCTTAGACTTTGCTGCCCGGCTCTGGTCCATTGTGGTATGAACCATGGTATACCGCCATCTGTAGGCCGTCTTGGGATTTTTGTGGCAGTTCTCATAGTTGTCTATTAAACACCCACGTCATAGTATTGGGTGATGGATTCTCTCGTGCCGCCACCAGACATTTATTATTAAGTTTAGTTTAATTTACAGTCCATCTGATGCTAAGTGGCCACTGCAGCTCATGGAAACGTGCAAACAACTTCAAACAAAGGATACAGATGCGATCTCACCTATCAAGATTTTTTTTATATAGTAACGGTGATAAACGAGCACACAGTCCAATAGATGGTAAGTGGATGCTGTAACCCATAGAGATCTAGATCTATCCTCGATTAAGATTCAAAATGCAGATGCCATCCCGAAGACTAAGAATGCTTCGTATCCAGTAAAAAGGGTCTCTACTTCTCTACACACGAAACACAGCAGCGTTGAGCTGCTATTTTACGCTGGTATTGTGTGAGAGCGTGGTCTTTTCCCGTTCGTGCCAACCCATTTGTAACTACAACCATAATATAGCTGAAACATAGCTAATAGCTACACCAAAACTAACTAGACTAAGATAGAATGCTTCACAATCTGTAATTATACCAGCACTATATCCTTCAGACCGAAACTCATGTAATTAATTTAACTTAAATGCATGAATATATACCAGAGCGTGGTGATTAATAAAGCACATAATGTGTGACAAATGGACAAGCGATGTGACGGAGAGAAATTAGAACACTAGAGCGACAAACCAAATGTTATCAATTTGTATGCTGATTTCTGTCTCGTGTCACAAAATGCTAGGCAGCAACGTTTTATGTCGCGATTGCGTGAGGCGTAAATCACTGAAATTGGACATTTTGTATCGGGGACGTGTAGTACATGTATGTGTTTTGTTCCTTCCGCACAATTGAGTAGTTTGATATCTGGCGATGAAGATTGCAGTCATACAACCTTAACATGTATTGCTATAAGATTGTATAAAATGAAATCATTTCCACATAACAACTCTAACACAACGAGCGTAAAATAGCAGCTTAACTTTGCAGTTTCTTGTGGCGAGTGTAGAGAACCGGAGATTCTTTTAACTGGTATCGAGGCATTTCATCTAAGTCCTCAGGGGTGACTACGCATCTGCATTTTGATCCATACTCGAGGTTATATGGAGATGTCTATGGGCCACAGCAACCACTGTCCATCGCTTGGACTGTGTGCTCGTTCGTCACCCTTATACTATAAAAAAAGTTGGTGCTGAGTCAAAGCTAATAGGCGTAGAGTTTGCAGCTATATTACAGTAGCAGCGAACACCGAGGCTCAACATAGAAAGGACCACGCTCTCACTAAATACCAGAGTAAAATAGCAGCTTAATGCTGCTGTGTTTTGTATGCTGAGTGTAGAGAACCTGAAATCTTTTCTACTGGAAACGAGGAATTTCATCTGAATCCTCAGGAGTGACAACGCATCTGTAATTTGATTCTTCATTTACGATAGATGTAAATGTCTATGAGTTACAGCTTCCGCTTACCATCAAGTGAACTGTGGGTTCGTTTGTCACCCTATTTCTATAAAAAATGATATATAAAATTATTAAAGTCCCGAAATCGTAAAATATTATGTGGCAATAATTTTATTATGTTTAGTCCCTTGATTCGGCTTTTATCTATTATTAAGTGTAATTTTTGACCTCTTTGTGTGTGCCAACTCGTCACCAGAGTAGTTACATCAAAAACTCCCCTACCCGATTCACAACGTGTTTCCATATATATATATATATATATATATATATATATATATATATATATATTACTGCGTATAGACCGGGCCATTGAAACTCCCTATCCGTGAATTTATGTACGAAACATTAATAATTATAATTGCACAAATAAGGCAGCTTTAAAGTGAAAAGCTATCCTCTTTATTCCGCACCCCGTGCGAATTTTGGAAAATCCTGAAAATAGTTATTTGTGATTATAGTTAACTATTTACATGCCAAATCTGAAGTCTGTAACACGAACAATTATAGTTACAGAAATAAGGCAACTAAAAGTGAATAGCTAAATCCTCTTTTTTCCCTACCCCGTGAGAATTTTGAGAAATCCTGATAACATGATGATTATAATTTTCTACTAAATTGCTCTATTTTAAGTCTCAGATAATTACAGTTAATATAAACTCATGTATTAAGAAGGGCCGTCTAAAATGTCGCAGACTCCCTGGAAATTCACTATTAACAGCTCATTTTATTGAACACTGAACAATACGCATTTATCTTGCCGTGGTTGTAGATGTCAATGTGCTTTAGTGCCAGTTACCATCAGCTGGACTATAAGCTCGTTTGTCATTATAATGATATCAAACTCACAATGACCATCTTACAGACATCTGGTTCTTTCTTTTGTATCCTTTTGTTTTGAACTCCTCAACTGGAAACTACTTTCTTTAGTTTAAGTTGAGTAACAATGGCGCTGACTTTTAAATTCATGCTTTTAATACAGGATTAAAGGCTTTCTGCAATTAAGACAATTATGAAGAACGCTGCGAAACAAGGCTTTCTCATTAAGCTATAATGGAAGGTACTTTAATTATATAACTATTACTAGGAATTTGTTCAACTTATCAACATAACAAAGTATAATTTTACTAAAATAATAGTCAAAGTATCATTAAAATGTTATTAATTAATACAACCGGTGATATTTATACGTTATAAAGGATAATAAAGGTTGTTTATTGCCAAAGATAATAATAAATATATAATTCCATTAGCTTCTAACGTTTTTGTGGTGTCACAGTGCAGTGTTTGTATTTTTTTTATTAACGGCTCGTCCGTCTTGGCACTAGGTCTTTGTGCTAGTACTATTATTTATTCTGTGATGGCACTTTTACGCCACTAAGCGCATCTGTAGCGTTCATTCTGAGGGAACTCGCGCGTTCGCGGCACGTGTGACTAAATCGACGATTTCTCTAGTTTTGTATGAGAGCTATACATAAAACTTACGTCATTGGAATCGCTATGAAATAAGACAATAAATGACATACGAATCAGGATACTTTTATTTTGAGGATACTTTTATAATATACCTTCAATTCTGTTTTGAAATTAGTGTAACCGATTTTTTTGCTACTTTATTGTACTTAAGGCGTCATAATTATAAAATCAAACGTTGAGTTGATACATATTTTATTTTATTAACTTTAAGATTCTATATTGAACATTAATCTATTAAAATAACACACCTCCCCATACATTTTTTAACACAATAAAATTCACGAACTTATAAATGCACGCGATGTTTAAAAATTCCAGTAGCCTGCGTTGCATAATATTAAATGTTTGAAGTGCGATGTTATACCATCTTTGTCGTCGTCTTCCTACATATTTTTTTAAAGTAAGCAGTATAAAAATATGGTTTTAGAAGGCAATTTGGCACATTGAAATATGTCGCAGCCGATCGACCTAAAATATTTTAACAAAAACAGAATAAAGTTGAAGGATCTGTCTATAATATTGAAATCACTGTCTGATGTTGGAGTTATTTGCGTGCCATTAAGACGTGAATAATTGTTTTTTTTAAATGTTTGTCTGTCTGTCTGTTCCGGATAATCTTCAGAATGACCATAGAATACCATAATACGAAAATAATAGAACCGGGGAGTGGGCGGAGCCCGTGTTGCCACTAACACCTTAATAGATTAATAGATCCTATCCGAACGACGCCGGGCGGGTTGCTAATTTAAAAAAAAGTCTAATTAATCATGATCATCATCATCATCATTAGATGGTTTAAAAAAATTACGAATCTAATATGAATTTAAAAGTATTTAAAAATAACCTTAGTGTTGCTGTGCCTTGACTTGGTTGAGTACCTGAAAAAAAATGATTGGCATTAGATAGTGTTCGTGGGAAGTAATACTTAAAACTTTGAAACTAAAATAAAAAGTTTAAGCTTTAAGTAAAAAGTGAAATTGAACATGACAACTTAACTGCCCATAACTCACTTTTTACGTTCTACCCAAGGTTAGCTCGTAGAGAATACAGTATAGTATGAAGCTCGCTTTAGGAGTACATTTTTGGTGCAAAAAGAATAAATAATAAATACTAATGTTTTAGCGATGCTAGTTTAAAAAAAATATATCAATAAATTATACAATTCAAACAAAGATTTAATCTAAATGTAGCCTAAACCTGCATCTTAGGTGTATGTGCTAAAAGACACACTATCAAATATTTCTGTTTCAAATAAAAACTACTAAAGAAGAACGTACTTTAATACCACGTTTAAAGAGCCACGCTGCAACTGTATTATGGTTGTAGTACAAATGGGTTGGCATGACGAGGAAAGGGCCACGCTCTCACAGAATACCAGCGCCAAATAGCAGCTCATTGCTGCTGCGTTTTGTATGGAGAGGGTAAAGAACCGGACACCCTTTTCAATGTAAACGAGGCATTCCATCTAATTCCACAAGGGTTACAACACAGAGACTGCATTTTGAACTTTAATCGACGATAAATGTTGGCACCTATGCGCCACAGCAACCACTTACCATCAGATGGACTGTGTGCTTGTAAGTTACCAATTTCCTATACAAAATATGTGTGGTCTGCAGCAAGAAAGATGATGCACAACATTTATTGATAAAATGTGTTCGCTACAAGGCTAAAAGAATATTGATTTTAGATTCTCGGAATATTAACATCATATTAGAATGTTGCATAACTTAACCCAAAATAATATTAAAATTAAAAAAATAATTTTAAAATTAAATAACATAATACAATTCATAATTTATAGTAAAGTAAAGTAATAATAATATACTGATAATCTAGTGTATAAAAAATAACATGTGTGTATTCGTGTATTTCTTTGTTAAAAAACATGTGCTGTTAATGATTTCATTAATGTACATGTACATATATATGTTCATGAATTTTTGTATGAAACATTCGAATGTGCGTTCTGCCTGAGGGAACAGGTGCAACAATTCAATTTAAGTGTAAATATGAGTTTATACCTACTGATACTAATTATTACGACCGTAGTATGCTATTTCGTAGTAATTAATGGAAACCTGTTATTGGCCTTATTATAAGAATACTATTGTTGTATGTAAACTATATAGAACGCTGTAGGTTTCTTAATAAATTAAAAAAAAACTTCCTATCTCAAACATCATCTACATAAAAGCGACGACTTCTGAGCCGGATTTTCAAATGTAGATCGAGTGATTAAGCTCTACATGTTCGGTAGTACTATTGTAAGGTATATTGGGACTGCCATATATTAAAGTATTAGACTACCTCATTGGTCTAGTGGTCATAAACACATTTGAGGTCCTGGATTCGAATCCCGGGTTTGGCCATAATCTGTTATTTGTTTTTTGACAAGAAATTCTCAGTAGCAGCCCGGAGTCGAAAAGTTGGCGAAGTTTTCAACCTCGTGCCTCTGCAAATCACGTAAAGCCGTTGGTCTTGCACCTTGATCTCCTTCCGTTCGTGGAGGATTACCATCATATGACATTTTTAGAATGAGGAAGTAGTGTGCATCTGAGCTTACGCATACACTCAGACACTATAATCATTTCCTGGGAATATGGCTGGTATCCGTTGAGACTGGCTGCCGCAAACAAAATTCGGTCTAGACGACATTATTGTATTATTGTATCAAAGTCCCTAAGCTAAAACTGTTAAAAAATACGAAGTCGTTATTTCTTAATGACGTGAGTCATCATATTATAGCGTTATCACAAACCTGCACACTTTCTGGTGAGTACGGCCATAAAATCATACTTTTGTAGTTAAAAATTGTTTCTCAAAAGTTAATGTCTGTTCTCATAACACATAAAAGTCGCAGCTGTAACTATTATATTCGTATTTACAGCTTCATCACGGTTTATATGCTTATTCTTTATAGCTGTTTTAAATAACAACAAAATAGTCTCATATAATACAGTCGTAAATACTCAACTTCACGTTAGCAAAATAACTGCTACAGTAGTTGCATATTGTTTTTATTCATTATTTTTTTTAAACTGCAGTGACTAACGTATGTACCGTCCATCCAATGGCGATGGTGCTGTCCATCGACATATGAAGCCAACTTCAAAAAGTAAAAGGCGACAGAAAACAAAAAGGAGATTCTGGTGAGATCTTTATTGCCTGGGTAGGTACTTCTTTTTTAAATGATAATATCTATGGGCCACAGCATCCATTTACCATCAGGTGGCTTGTGTGCTCTATTGTTGCCCATATCGTTGACAGGACATCTATAGCCTTCTATATGTAAAGTTGACTTTAGGTGTTCATGGACGGCAGTAATTACTTACCATCCGGTAAAATATATGCTTGTCTCTCCAATTAAAAAACATACTAATTATTATAACAAGTTTTAATTCATAAACCGTTTAATAATTTTCAACTATTTAAATCTAATAACTAAGAAATCAGAATTAATAAAAACATATTTAAGAATGTGTGCAACACTACAAAACTATAATTAAGGAGTCCAAAGTTGGTAAGAATTACTTCGCTGCATCCAATGGATTACCGCAAAGTAATGCCTGATTCTACTAATTAGGGAGTCGTACAAAACTAATTCCAAGCAATAATAGCTTTGCATTTTGTTGGTACACAAAGCAGAGCAAACTCAGAAAAGCTTTGCCAGTTTTCTGAATATATTTTGCTGTTTTGATTAAAATTAATATGATATACCCTATTTTACAAGCAGTATTTGTGTCTGAAGTCGAGTCTTTGCTGAACAAAGTCTCGGATTGAGAGCGACTAAACCTAGTCCAATTCAATCCCCAGAAGATACAGTTTGCGAATTAACCGCTAAAAAGAAGCTCTTGATCGTATCTGCTTAGTTATAAGGCACTTCCCACGTTATCTCAGTTAGCATCGGAATCCATGGCGTCGACATATCGAATAGTATGCAGTTTCGTGATCACTTGGTAGGGAAGGCCAAATTGGCCTAAAAAAAGCTGGGCGTGATCTACAGAGCGATACAATATTTAATGCTGACATATCGCCTGCAAATTTATAAAGCGCAAGTTCAGCCTCACATAGAATACTGTTCTCGTCTCTGGGCCGGAGCACCCTAGTACCAGCTCCTTCCACTTGACCGCATCCAACGCATAGCTGTTCGAATCGTGGACGACCGAGTTCTTTCTGATCGATTCGATTCACTGGCGCTGAGCGGTGCTGGGACTAGTGGTAACGGAATTAGTGCACGTAACTGAGGGAGGGCGGGAGGTGCTCTTCAAACTAGGTATAAGACATATCATTTTATTTAATCGAGCGGATGGTTGCAAAGTAACTATTAATATCTTTATTATAATGGATTTTCGCAAAGTAACGCCTGATTCTATCAATTATTTTAAACGAACACATAGTTAACCACATGGTAAATGGATGCCGTGACTCATAGATATCTATATCTATTATCGGTCAATAATCAAAATGTAGATACGTTGTTACCTCTAAATACTGATAAAGATAAGATGGATTGTCTCGTTCCCAGTAAAAAAGTCTTCGGCTCTCTATTCTCACTATACGAAACACAGCACCATTAAGCTGCTATTTTACGAAAGTATTCGTGAGAGCATGGTCCTACCAATTCACGTTGCAAACGTAATATAGATGCAGCGTGGCTCTACCATGTAAAATAAAACGCATGTAGAGTCATCGCAACCCTCGACCATTTTGAAGAGAACGAGTGACAGAAAGAGAGAGAGAGAGGCAACGTCGCGGCAAGTAGAGACTAATAACCTTGCATGACATTCAGTAATAACTATAAAGATTACAAATTATAACCACGAAGTCGAAAAAGTATTTTTTTTTTGGGAAAACCAGCAAAAACCAACGGGACTTTTTAAATAATACTTAACAATGTACAATTAATTTAATATATAACATTTAGAAACCGTATTTTTGCGGTAAGTTCATTCCCAAGGGTTTATACTCGTAATACAGCTTTGTTTGATAAATTTTTTCAACTTTTTGATAGATAGACCAGTAAATTTTATGGAATTTGTTGTAGAGTTATCAGAAAAACAAGAAATGCTTTGTCCCAATAAATGTTTTTAAACTTTTCTTACATAATAAGGAAAACAAACGAGCACACAGTCCACCTGATGGTAAGTGGATGCTGTGGCCCATAGACATCTACATTTATCCTCGATTAAGAATCAAAATGCAAATGCGCTGTCACCCCTGAGGACTAATATGGATTGTAATTGATAGAATCAGGCGTTACATTGCGGAAATCCATTATAATAAAAATATCAATTAATTTGCAACCTTCCGCTAACTAAATAAGTGAGGGGGGGGGAGGTGCTTCATTCAGGTAAAACACATCATTGTATTTAGTTAGCGGAAGTTTGCAAATTAATTAATATTTTTATTAATATGGATTTAAAAAAAGAATATTAACAATGCTATAAACATTACTAATATTCCCCTTAATCACTCGTGTTTAAATTGCTTGTGTTACGAGTGGTTCACGCCAGTAGTCGAATGGCGGATTAGAACCCACGACCTTTTTGAGTTCGCGGTCCGCGCCCTTCCATTAGGCTACTGTCGCTTCGAGTGGATTACCTCGATCTATTCTATATTGTAAATCAAATATGTGTAATTTGCCTTCTTCTACTACTTTGTTTATGTATTTTCATGTTTTAACCCGGCGAGCATGAGCCAGGGTATCACACACCCTGATAAAATTTCAAGGTAGTGTATTTTTTTAAATCCTCGCCTGGAAACTCTAACTCGCTCAGTAGCCGGAGTGCTGGGCGCGCGGGGCGGGTTAGTGGCGTGATCGACGTGTGGCGTGGGACTGGTGGGACACTGGCCGGTATATTCGTGCGCAAACCTG